AAAATTGAGAAAATCCTGGGGATTAAGGAAAATCCCCGAAAACTGGGGCGAATCCCGAGGGATTTGGGAAAATCCCCGCGCGGCCCCACGGCCCCGGGTGCTGGGGTTAATTAATGGGGGGGGCGTTAATTGGATTAATTGGGGGGGGGAGAGGAGGGGGGGCAGGAATGGGGCGGGAATTGGGATGTGGGGCAGGAACGGGGGATGTGGGGCCAGGATGGATCCGTGGGGCAGGTTCAGATCCGTGGGGCAGGTTCAGATCCGTGGCTCACGTTCGGATCTGTGGGGCAGGTTTGGATCTGTGGGTCTGGTTCGGATCCGTGGGGCAGGTTCGGATCTATGGGGCAGGATTAGATCTGTGGAACAAGGTTGGATCTATGGGGCAGGTTCGGATCCGTGGGTCCGGGTTGGATGTATGGGGCAGGTTCGGATCCGTGGGTCCGGTTCGGATCCGTGGGTCCGGTTGGCCCGGCCGGACCGGGGCGGTTCCGGGGGGGTTTCGGTGCGGGGGCGGCTCCGGCTCCTCCTTGGCAACCGCGCGGTTTCCATGGAAACGGGGATGGAGGGGGGAGGGGGAGGGGGAGGGACCCCGGATCCGGCGGGGGAGGGGGAGGGGCCGCCCCAAACCCGGCCCACGGAACCAAACCCGGCCCCACAGATCCAGCCCTGACCCACGGAACCAAACCCGGCCCCACAGATCCAGCCCTGACCCACGGATCCATCCCAGCCCAATATCCCTGACCCATGGCCACATCCCGGCCCCATGGATCCATCCCAGCCCCACATCCCTGGTCCCGAATCCCTGATCCCAAATCCCACACCCCAAACCCCATAACCCAAACCTCAAACCCCATAACCTGCACCCCACATCTCCCCACAGGCTCCTCGAAGGCACCATGGCCGTGCCCCACATCCCAAATCCCTGATCCCTGACCCCAAATCCCCAATCCCACACCCCATAACCCACACCCCATAACCCACACCCCAATCCCACACCCCATAACCCACACCCCACACCCCACACCCCATAACCCATATCCCACACCCCATATCCCACCTGGGAGCTGAAGAAGCCGAGCTCGTTGTCGATGTTCTCATAGATGTAATCCACACCCCACACCCCAATGCCACACCCCATGACCCACACCCCACGTCTCCCTGCAGGCTCCTGGCGGGCGCCATGGCGGCGCTGGCCCCGGCCCTGGCGGCCTGGCTGCTGCTGAGCCCTCGGGGCTGCGGCGCCGCTGCCGACGGCGCCAACGGCACGTGCCGGGGCTCGGCGCGCTGCCAGCCCGGCGTCCTCCTGCCCGTGTGGCAGCCGGACGAGCCGGCGGCCGGCGACAAGGCGGCGCGGGCCATCGTCTACTTCGTGGCCATGATGTACCTGTTCCTGGGCGTGTCCATCATCGCCGACCGCTTCATGGCGTCCATCGAGGTGATCACGTCGCGCGAGAAGGAGATCACGGTCACCAAGGCCAACGGCGAGACCAGCGTGGGCACCGTGCGCATCTGGAACGAGACCGTGTCCAACCTGACGCTGATGGCGCTGGGCTCGTCGGCGCCCGAGATCCTGCTGTCGCTCATCGAGGTGTGCGGGCACCGCTTCCAGGCCGGCGAGCTCGGCCCCGGCACCATCGTGGGCAGCGCCGCCTTCAACATGTTCGTGGTGATCGCCGTGTGCGTGTACGCCATCCCGGCGGGCGAGAGCCGCCGCATCAAGCACCTGCGCGTCTTCTTCGTCACGGCCTCCTGGAGCATCTTCGCCTACATCTGGCTCTACCTGATCCTGGCGGTGATCACGCCGGGCGTGGTGCAGGTGTGGGAGGCCTTCCTCACGCTGCTCTTCTTCCCGGCGTGCGTGGTGTTCGCCTGGGCGGCCGACAAGCGCCTGCTCTTCTACAAGTACGTCTACAAGCGCTACCGCGCCGACCCGCGCAGCGGCATCATCATCGGCACCGAGGCCGAGCGGCCTCCCAAGGACCTGGAGGCCGACGGAGGATTCCCGGCGCTGCCGGAGCCCGAGCCCGGCGCGGCCTCGCCGTCGCCGACGCCCGAGGAGAAGGAGCTGGACGAGAGCCGGCGCGAGGTGATCCAGATCCTCAAGGACCTGAAGCAGAAGCACCCGGAGAAGGAGCTGGAGCAGCTCTTGGACGCCGCCAACTACATGGCCTTGGTGCACCAGCAGAAGAGCCGGGCGTTCTACCGCATCCAAGCCACGCGCCTCATGACCGGCGCCGGCAACGTGCTCAAGAAACACGCGGCCGAGGCGGCGCGGCGCTCGCCGGCGCTGCCCGGCGAGGATGACGAGGATGACGACGAAGACGAGGCGTGCAGCCGCATCTTCTTCGAGCCGTGCCTGTACCACTGCCTGGAGAACTGCGGCTCGGTGACGCTGGCCGTGGCGTGCCAGCAGGGCCTGGGCGCCAACCAGACGTTCTACGTGGATTTCCGCACCGAGGACGGCTCGGCCAAGGCGGGCTCGGACTACGAGTACAGCGAGGGCACGCTCATCTTCAAGCCGGGCGAGACGCGCAAGGAGCTGGCCATCGGCATCATCGACGACGACATCTTCGAGGAGGACGAGCACTTCTTCGTGCGCCTCCTCAACCTGCGCGTGGGCGACGCCGAGGGCATGTTCGAGGCCGACTCCGACGACCACCCCAAGGGCAAGCTGGTGGCGCCGCTGGTGGCCACCGTGACCATCCTGGACGACGACCACGCCGGCATCTTCGGGTTCCGGGAGCGCTCGGTGCGCGTCAGCGAGTGCCAGGGCCACGTGGAGGTGACGGTGGTGCGCAGCTCCGGCGCCCGTGGCACCGTGATGGTGCCGTTCCGCACCGTGGAGGGCACGGCGCGAGGCGGAGGCGTCGACTACGAGGACGCCAGCGGGGAGCTGGAGTTCCGGAACGACGAGACGGCGTGAGGGAGGAGAGGGGACGGGGAGAGGATGAGGAGGGGAGGGCGGGGGGATGAAGGATCGGGGATGGATGGGAGTGGAAGAGGATGAGGATGAGGGGATGGGTGAAGGATGGATCA